GAGACTGGCATTCACGGCCATTGATAGGATAAGATGCGCCACGTGCGAGAGAACCACGTGGTATTTAGGCGTGCCTCTCTAATAACGCAATATAGCAGAAAAGGGTAATCCATAAATTAACTATAGCAATATTATCTACCAGACACATAACAGCCACACCTTTCCTGGCATTCTTCTTCACAGTGTAATGTTTAATGATAATGCCGGCAGTTTTACGTCCCTAAACCAAGATACAATTATGAGGGACCCCATAGAGGAAATCTTCAGAAAATTTGATCTGGTGTTCTTTAGCGTGCACTGGCATCACGCGGCAGACGGATCATTTTGCCGGCCGGGATAGACCGTGCGACCTTCAGGTCAGAAGCCGAGCACCCTATCCACTGCACCACCGAAATGAACCAGCTACACAGTAGCCCATAGGTGTTTTCATTTTAAAGACGATAGTCTTTGTTGGGGACCTTCGACGAAAAAATGTCTGTCTGTCTGTCTGCCTGCCTGCCTGCCTGCCTGTCTGCCTGCCTGCCTGCCTGCGTCTGTCTGTCTGCCTGCCTGCCTGCCGGCCTGCCCGTTTGTCTGTTAGTCCACTCTTAAGAATACCCCGAACGGCCAACCCAACCCGCTGCGCCTACCAATAGTGCCTAACATTGAGCGTTCATACGTGTGCGATTGTCAATTAAAAAGCCATTATTGCGCATATCTGAGGCACCATAACAACTCGTCAATATTCTGCATCTGTGTGTGTTTTTTTTTACTAGGAAAGGCATACATAACTAATTCAAAGGACCGTAGCGTTTATCGCGCTGCGCTGACCATGCAGCGCTTGCACCAAAAGGCAAGGGTTTTCAACGCTTTGCTAAGACAAGACGGTGGTGGCACCTACCCGTCGCCTTGCGTTCTACACCTTATCACAACCAAGACGCACGCACACGCCGCCGTGCTTCGTTTTCCAAGATAACTGCCAGATGGCACTCGTGTATCATGTTTGACGTGACTTGATGCGCTCGTTCGCCTTCGCTGTACGCTCGAGGCACTCTAAGGGCCAAACCTCATAAGCGCGAAAATGCACGCGACAGCGACGAGCGACGCTATGAGCGACGAAACAGGGCGTTCGCGCGACGTGTCGCGTACGTGCTCATTTTCACGCGATCGCTCGCTTCTCCAGATTCGGAAACCGTCGCTCATCGCCCGGAAGTGCTGGGCTCAAGCAGCCAATAGCAAAATACCGGAAAAGACAAAGACTACATAAGTGCACGTGACCCTGCCCGAGTCACGTATGCGCAACAAGAAATAACGGAATGTTTATTACGCATGTGCATATAAAAAAGTGCTGCAAGGCAATAATAAACTTTCCGTTTCATTACACAACAATATATTTTATTTTTAAATTGCATACCGCTCGCTACGCGGTTTTCTTGGTGTGAGTAGACGGCCTCATGCCAGCAACAGTGGAATTCGCTCGCCGAAGCCGTCGCGTGAATGAGGTTTGCCTGCGCTAGCGACTGATCGCGCGAAGCCGATCTACGCCGCGTCACTTGTCGCTGTCGCGTGCATTTTCGCGCTTATGAGGTTTGGGCTTAACGCAGCGCCTCTAGAATACCATTCACCGATTTTCTTACGCAGAACATGAGATTAACGTTTTGTTCACTCTCATCAGACGCAAGACTATCATCTTTCGACGACATTTGCAGTGTAACCTGCAGATACGGGGCCACTTTTTTTTAACATGAGGTCCCATTAACAGCTCTATCGTGAGACATCCGCTGTACTTTCAATATCTGTTCTCAGTGATGTGTGAAGCTGTATATTTAATCAAGTGTAACTTAAGGTCTCTGTGGTTTATACATAATTGAAATGGTGGGTTTTTAGCCAGAACACACTTAAGTGGACCTCCAGGCTCGTATTTGACTGGAATCCTAATACGGCTTATGTGGGGGCGGTGAGAAAACAGAAGTTTTTACGAGATGACTCAAACAATATTATAAACTGAAAATTTCAAGACTCTCATCATAGCCTATCTCGTTGGACGGTTTCTCGTGACATCCCCCAGGCCATATCTGTCACCATATCAAATCGATCAATGACTTTGTTTTGTTTTGTCGATGCTACTTGAAGCCGAGATCGATGATACTCAAAAAACTATTCATTTCACTAATGTTGTCGTTTGAGCCAAGCTCCTAAACTACATTCTCAAGGATGTCTAGGCAGCTGTGTTCAATTTGTTCTTTAAATAATGAAACAACCGGCGCGTTATTTTGGTATAGCTTCACTCTCCAATCTACATATATAGCCACATGCGTTTATAAATTTTATCTTCATGTATTTTCCTTTCAGGCTCAAAAACTATTAACAACTCTCGGTGCAGATCATGCCCAAACGTCTGGGTATAGCTTCGCGATTGTTTCAAATCATTCCGTTAAAATTTACTCCAGACGCGAGTAGTCTAGTTTATTCTAGAGCTTATGCAGGCAGCAGTGATATCGCTAGAATTTTTAATAGCATATGTATAAATCCAAGCGCTTTATCGCTTCCTGGTTTATCCATCGTGAACGCTCTGTTCGCCACTATCAGTGTACCGCTTGCATTGCTTGCTGTAGTTTTAGTTTCAGTTTTCCGGCCACAAGTACGGCTAAATTAAGTGTTTTATCTTGGACTCGTAGACTGCATGCTGCCTTCGTCAACGTCACGAACCCGCAACAATATTCGATTTGGGAGACTGATTTGCTGTCTATGTTGCTTTTCCCACACTTAATATTTCCTGCTTTAAAACCTTATTAATTAGGCTTTTCTAATCTTGATTATCTGCCATTATTCTTCGTCCCATACTTCAATTTGTTTTTGATTTTCTGTTGCTCTTTTCAAGAAGGCCAGCAAGTCTTATAATCAACGCTTGCCAAGCAATTTTTTACACATCCTCCTCAGTGCGTGCACACACTAAATGTGGTTCACGATCATAATTAATTGTAGCTATATTCTTTTACAACTTAAACGACCACAAAGTGTTTTTTTTTCATTTTTAGAGAGTTTTTGTGGTTCAAAAACAGCGCTCTTCATGCATTGAGTGATTCTGTATGAAGGGCTTAAAGTTTGAACTAATATATTTACCTTCATCACGTTGTGTCAACCCCATGTTTGTGTATGCACATGATGAAAAACTTGAGTGGGGAGCGATGGGTGGCTGTCTTATAAATAGCATGCATGTGACGTCATTGACGACGCTTACAAACGTGGCAGTACACTAAGATCGCGGCTTTGATGCTGAATAAGTTGTGGTTAATCTGTTTCAATGTGAAAGTGACGTGACACAAACGCCTCTGTAGGTTCATAACAATATAGCCTCCATGTCATGTTGTGATATCGCTTATGTGACATTGCAAACTTCGCGTTACCCCGTGCAGGTCCTCTAACACAGTGGCTTCAGTCACGTCAATGCAGGTCAACTATGCGTTCTGAATTGTGCGCTTGATATGGGTACCCGTACACACAATCTAGAAAAACCTTTCTGCAGCCTTTATTGGCGCTCGGCGCAAACCTGTCTCAAGATGGCGTACATAAAACAGTCCTGAGACATTATGGCAGAGCAGCGCAAAATACGGGACAGTGAAACACACCGGACACAACGCTGGCACAGCGCTGAAACACACAGAACCGTGACATCGTTGTGTTTTGTGTGCTTCATGGTTCAGTATTTTGCGCTGCTCTGCCACAACGTTCATAAAGCAACTAGCCCGCCAACGAACTCTAGTCTACATACTTGTTCTTGTTCTCGTTGACCTTCACTTGTGGCTCATACCCACTGTGAGGGATTGACCGATAATTGAGTGGTATTATCAAATTTTATTCGATCATCAAGTCCTCACTTCACTACTCCTTGTCTTCTTCGTCTTTCTGCCAACGTAGCACGCTGATTCAAGATTCTATATGCGGTTATGTTCGCAAATGTGTGCAGTGCTTTTGTGTGTACATCGTTTTTGCCAGACTAGTGATGAATTAATAATTTTGGGTTAGCCGGCTTTGAGGTAGTCTTCTTTTAGAGGTTTTCATTAGTAAAAAGCAAAAAAAAAAGAATCACTATGCTAAACGCACGTGCCCTATAACCAGCGATGTCGTTATTGGTACGAGCACGTTCCCTATAACTGGCCGTTTGTTGTGACTGTTGTCGTTATTGGTACGATCTTTAGCAGCCATATACTATTAGTTTACTATTGGTCTTTTGTGAGCTATTGATGTGCAACCATACTGCCTTTTGTTCTTGCGCTTCCTCAGTGACTTCATGTGTGTGTTCTTCACACCTATTAGAAAAAGATGAAACGCTAGCAGTGAATAACAAATTCAGCAACACTTCAGCGCGCATAGTTATGCTATTTGTTCCAACAAAATGTTAGAAGGGCCTGAAGTGGACGGGAAAACGAAATTCTATAAAGGGGTAAAATGAGTAATTGTGTGAAGATCCGCTGTCATGCTGACTGACATGCAAGATAACTGAACGCACGGCAGTGACAAAAAAAAAATTCTGCATCAATAGCTCCGTCTTGTTCATCGTCAGGGACCCATTTTTACTTTTTCTTGAAACATCATCTGATACAACGCCATACATAGTGTTTTTTCTCGAAACAATCATATTTTTAATGCCCGCGGCACTCGCATGCAGTGAACATTTATCGGTGAATCCCTGGCATATAGCTAAATTTTAATCATATATAGAGTGACTTGGTATTTTTTGTGTTTGAATTCATCGACCAAACTGGCCTCATGAATTATTATGCAGAAAAACAGGGGTCTACGCCGAAGGAGCATGTACTTACACCTCACGCAAGCTTCGGAACAACAAACATCATCAGCATAAGCTCGCGCAGGCAGCTCAGGCAGCCATCCTCGGCGACCGTTGGGCGTAGGACGTGTCCATTCCACTGGTAGGCGTAGCCAAGGCAGAGAGCAGATCACCCGATTTTACTCTCACCATCAGCTTATAAGGGACGCGAAACCAGCAAAGGATTGGCGACATGGCTTCCCACGGCAAGTACAAGGTCTTCGTGAGCAGGGCCGACATTCCACCGAAGGCCATGGAGCTCCTGGAGACGAAGTAGGTCCTCTTGGTTTTTTTTCTTCTGAGCCGCCTCGGTGAAAAAAAGAATAACGTAGGCAACATTTTTTTATACAAAATTAAGGTGTGTCACAATCTTACCTCTCGCAACGTGCAGTGCAATTTATTTACGCCTTAGAGAGACAGAGACGAAGGGCATACAGACTCGAGTCACAGTGGCAAAGTCGATTACTTGCCATTATATGGTTAAGAGCCAACTTTGTAGCTGATTCCGGTGTTGAGAAAATAATAGCGCTCTTTGCAAGCTCCATCGTCTCCATGAGGAAAAAACAGCAATCTCGTTGGCACTATACCATGCAGTTGCACAAAGACAGTTGCAGAAAGCAAAACCTACACGGAAAGGAGCACAAGCGGCTACAAAAGCATTGCTGCATTCGCTCTCTCAGTAAGACTTTTGTGACGTCGGTTGTGACAATGAGGTTCCTCGTACTGTGTCACAGCCATACGGGCAGTCTGAGTATGCATTTTTCGTTGTCCGCTTACTTTCCCGTCATCATATGTGCGAATTTCGTGCTCTCTCAGTACATGGTGACCAACAGCAGATTTCATATGACCGTAATGAAGTGTCTCTCATTTTGTTTTAAAGACGCTAGTCTTTTTCGGGGACCTTCGACGCAAAAATTTTGGTCTGTCTGTCTGTACATTTGTCTGTTGGTCCACTTTTAATGGCATCGGGTATTTGAAATGGCTGACCTCCTCCGCAGCGACCACCAATGTTGCTCAAGAATCAGCGTTCATACGTGTGCGATTGTCAACTATTAAGCAATTATTGCGCATGTTTGGGGCACCATAACAACACGTATATATTCTGCATGTGCATCTTTTACTAGAAATTGCATACATAAGTAAATCTAAGGACCGTAGCGCTTATCACGGTGCGCTGCCCATGCAACGCTTGCACGGAAACACGAGTGTTTCCAACGCTTTGCTAAAACGAGATGGTGGTGGCACCTACATGTCACCTTGCGTTCTACACCTTATCACATCTGAGATGGGTGCGCACACCCGTCTCGGAGCCACGCGCTTTGTTTGCTAAAAAAACTGCCAGCCGGTGCTTGTGTCTCACGTGTGACGTGGCTTGATGCGCTCGTTCGCCTCCACTGCACGCTCGAGGCACTTGACGCAGCACCTCCAGAATACCCTTCACCAATTTTCTTGCGCAGAACATCAAATAAATGTTTTCTTTACTCTCTCCACACGCAAGACTATCGTCTTTCGACGACATTTGCAGATTACATGCAGATACGGGGCCATTCTTCTTTCACAACATTGCGGAGAATAGGTGGCTACCAATGGCATGCCACGTAACAATGCTGGTAAATGCTGTCGTACTGCTTTTAATGCTTGCAGGACAAAATAAAAGCACTAGATAAATAGCTCTCTTAGATGTCAATTGAGCAATTTCATCGGTCATGGTAGGCGCTGGTGAAGATCTCTTGTAAAAACAGCAGAAAGGTGATAGTAGGCTCCTTTACGTAAATTGCCACAAAGTGTTTTTGACGAATACGGGTTGAGACCATACCCACAGTAAGCCGGGGTTAAAGCTGGTAGTATCAGTGAAATAATGAGCTGACAGGTTCACCAGATGCATGATGGAAATCATTCGTGAGTTTGGCGGTTCCCCTTAATTACTTGACAATTTCCACTTACGCACATAAACATCGTTGTGGTCATTAGTGAACACAAAAAGAAAGAGTAAATGTGCGAAAGCGCACGTGTGTATGTGTGTGTGTGTGTGTGTGTGTGTGTGTGTGTGTGTGTGTGTGTGTGTGTGTGTGTGTGTGTGTGTGTGTGTGTGTGTGTGTGTGTGTGTGTGTGTGTGTGTGTGTGTGTGTGTGTGTGTGTGTGTGTGTGTGTGTGTGTGTGTGTGTGTGTGTGTGTGTGTGTGTGTGTGTGCGTGCGTACGTGCCATGGTTTACACCCTCGTATATAAAACACGGATGTTAAACTTGCTGTCGAGGTTTTTTTCGGCTGGTAAAGCGCTTGGCAACAGGCAGTTTTATGCAAGCAAACGATGTAAGAACATGAATTACAGTGCGCTGAATTAGTTTAATTGCGTCATAGAAAGAAACCTTTGGGACATTAAAACCAGATGTTGTGCAGAGTAAGTCAAAAGGGGACAATCCTTGATTGATTGATTTGTGGGGTTTAACGTCCCAAAACCACCATATGATTATGAGAGACGCCGTAGTGGAGGGCTCCGGAAATTTTGACCACCTGGGGTTCTTTAACGTGCAAGGGGACAATCCTGTGCCATTGTGCATCTTCACTACGTACGTTGCCAAACTTTCCAACAAATTACGTAATATTTTTTATCATTTAAGCAAACATCTGTAGCTGCCTCGTAACACTGCGTGTGAAGTAACTGTGCAGTAACTTTGGTATCACAAGTCAGTCATTATCACTGATAACATGTAACGACTGCAAGACAGCCGACTCATCGGGCAAATAATCTCAGCAATTTGTAATTTGAAAATAAAGCGAGGAAGCGCCTCGCAGTGTATTAAAGATGATGAAACATAATTAAAAACGAATGGCACATGTGCAAGTACTGTGCTAACGCAGGTGCGACGTGACCAGCGTAGCCTGCACACCGACCAACTGGCTCGAGATATGGAGCAAGCATGTGGCCGGGATGGAAGCACTTTTCATCCAACACTATGAACAGATCAACGTGAAGACACTCGACATGGCCGGTAAGGGCCGGGCGCGTCAGCGTGTCTGTGCGCGGGAGGTACAATAATGACAAATTAAGGATTCAGATCATTATGTGCGTCTGCTTGCGCAAAAAAACCACATGATGCAGATAATTCTTTTCTAGGGGGGGGGGGGGAACAGCAAGAAATTAACCTATTAAAGTTAACAGTGTCCGATGCATAGGTCAGCGAACTCACTCATGAGTAGACTCACACAGACTCACTCAGACTAAGACCAAGCCGTGAGTCTGAGTCGGAGTTTTTCCCTCGTGAGTAATGTTTTGGTAATTTTTAGTCCCACTGAGTCCTGTTGAAGAAAACTTTCGTGAGTGTGAGTCCGAGTGAGTTCGGCTCAGGAAAATTTGGTGAGTCTGCGTCCGAGTGAGTCTAAAGCGTCAAATATATTTCTTTAGTGAGTTTAGGTGAATTCAATTTTCTTGACCTAAGCCTCCTGTCTACTCATCCTCAGCATTACTATCAGCTTTACCTGGATTCACCTTTATACTCACGTCTACTCACAGGTATTTCAAAGCAGTGTAGTTCATACATTTCGTATTCATAAATGAGAGATGTTAATTACGTAGGAGGGTGCCTTGACCTCCCTCCACCAACTCTTCCAGAGAATTTATTGATAGATATATCCTGGCATCTCTTCCAAAAAAAAAAATACCTTACTGGTGTTACGCCTGGGAGTCCACACTGAACGACAATGCCTCTGCAAAGGCAATCTGTGTCAAGACCGACGCTCGAGCCAACCGACTCAATGACGTCATCAAGCGGCGGCGCCAGTCTGTCACGCAACGCACAGCGAGCTCCCTCAGCCCACGAGCCCGTTGAAGCAATCGGCGCCTTCCAGTCTGGCGAGTCTTACGCAATCCGTGGCAACATCCCTCGTCCTTGGTGCAACCACACGCAGCGGCGGGCCCCATTGGAGGATTCCGACATCACGGCCAGTGGCGCTTCTGGTTGGAAATTTGGTGACTCAAAGGATCCACCCGGTGCCTTAAAAACAGCCCTGCGGCGCGTCGCCAGCAGTATACCTATGTGTCAGAGAAGACATCTCGCCTCTTCAAGTCCCTAAGCTCTCGGCCCCAGTGCCGAATTTGTAACGCCTCTATTTCTACGCTGTACATAAACCTTCCCTTAACTCACCATTGTCTCGTCCGCTCGTCTATCAGCTCTGCGCAGAAGCAGTCGCGAGCTGAGTAACACACGCTAACAAACGGCTGGTGGCCGTGTCGGCAGAGTTCGGAGAAGTGGCGCCTTCGGGACCGCGTTGGCGTCGCGCTTTCGTAACACTGGTTTGAAGGCACTCTGAACTCGCTTTTGAAAATGATACGTCGAACGGCACCAAGAAGAGCACCGATTACGCGTGACATTGGTGTTAAAGAGCATTGACACCATGGTTGAAGAAGCTAATTCTAGGCTGACGGACTTATGAGTCGACTCACTCGGACTCACTCAGAATCACATCAAGCCATGAGTCTGAGTCGGAGTCGTTCTCTTGTGAGTAATGTTTTGTTGAGTTTGAGTTTGAGTGAGTCCGGCTGAAGAAAGCTTTTGTGAGTGTGAGTCCGATGAATTCGGCTCAGGAAAATTTTCGCGAGTCTGAGTCCGACTGAGACCAAAACTCGAAATGCATTTCTTGGGTGAGTCTTGAGTTCCACTGTCGTCTGTCGACCTAAAGATCCTATCTAGTCGCCTTCAGCATTACTATCAGCCTTACCTGGATTCATGTTTATGCTCACGTCTACTCATAGGCGTTCAAAGCAGTGTCGGTCATACACCGTTTCAATATTTATTATTTAGAGGCGCGAATTACGTGGCCGGGTGTTTTGATCTACCCTCACCATCTCTTCCAGGGAATTGCTTGATTATTATACCTTATGCTGCCATCTCTTCCGAGGATTATGACATTATATACAAGTTTTGAAGCCCTCAGAACTCATTCTCGAAGACACTTTGTCAAATGGCACCAAGAAGAGTACAGATTACGTGAGGTATTGGTGTTGAAATAGCATTGACACCATGGTCGAAGAAGCTCATTTTATAGGCTGACGAACTTATGAGTTGACGCACTCGGACTCACTCAGATCAAGCCGTGAATGAGTAGTATTTTGGTGAGTTTGAGTCCGAGTGAGTCCGGCTGAAGGAACGTTTCATAGATGTGAGTCCGAGTGAGTCTGCAGCTTAAGAAACGTTTGGTTAGTCTGAGTCCTAGTGAGTACTAAGCTCAAAATATAGTTCATGAGTGAGTCTGAGTGAGCTTCACAAATTTTGCCGACGTATGTTCCGATGGCAGGTCAAGCTTTTGTTGCAGACCAAATACGAAATACTATGACTGCACTGTAGATTAAACATAATGAAGTCATTCTGTGGCCCAGGTACCCATCTTCGGGTGGTGTCCACCATGTCAGCGCACTACGGCAACATCGACTTAGAGGAGTGCCGCAGGCGGTAAGCCCACGTTCGAGTGCACACACTCCTGGCTTTACGTAAACATTAAATAGCGTGACACCAATGAGACAACATTGAACAATGAACACTGTTCTAGTCAGTGTACGCGCACGCATCCACGCATGCATGCCAGAATTCTAGAGTTCGTGCCAAATGAACCCATCAGATATTTAAGCCAAGTATACGGGATAATATTTGTTGGTTTTTAATGTGATGGAGTTAACGATCTTGTTACGCATATATTCCGGCGTCGGTGTTAGTCCCACGATGGTTGTGAGCGAAAATCCATCTCATCTCTGACCGCAACATTGAGAAAGATGCAAATAAAATACATAAAAAAATTTTTTTGGTTCGAGTACAAATCGAACCCGGAAAATAACACTTATGAATATGATGTAGTGGAGGGATCCTTCATAACGCACGTAAAATTGCCTGTCAGAAGCGTATACAATTGCGCCAGGCAATAAAACATGTGAACTGCGCAACAACACGGTATTTTAAAGGCCCATTAATAACAGAGCGATCAGTTATATTTGATTATTATCAACAGCAAAAGCATCAACGATGCGAGAAACTTCGTAGGTTCGCGTGTTACCTTACGGACACGTAGTGCGCCCTTTTCTGATTTGCAAATGGAAGAGTCAAGGCGTAGTGGACACTTGAAAGATGTATACTTTCAGTAGGCATTCTAGGATAGTTAGAGAAGCAGCAGGTGTTCTCTAAGGTGCATCTAAATCTAAGTACACAGGTTGCAACTATTTTGCACTCTACTACAGAAGTACTGTTAAAAACGAACACATGCGTCCTCTATGCTTTTTTTCACACAATTGTCTGTTAAATTCATTTGGTTGTGTTCATCAAAACAACGAGCCTCTTAGAATAAAGAAAAAAACTTCTTTTTAAGAAGAGGGCGAGCAGATACCATGACCATTAGCGGTGTTGAATCTATTACCTAGTGAAACAGTGAATCTATGTGAAGGAAGACTGACCAAAGAATTACTGAGCTAAACTCACTCTTAGCGATTGATCCGGGTTCGTTATCTGTGTCATGAGAGTACTGGAAAGCATAAGGGGCGTTTCTCGTGGAAGAACTTTATGCAGCCTATTTCGCGCACCATTAGTGTTTGCCATCAAGCGGCCATTTGTCGTTCTGTCTTCATCCCGTAGCGGAATTCACGTCGGGAACACAGCGCACGTTCAGAGCGACGCCGTGGCCGAATACGCCTTAGGTCTCACAATTATGGCTTCAAGGAGGATCGCCGAGGGCTTCGACGCAATACGGGCGTAAGTATGAAGGCTTCTCATCAGAATGAAGTTCAGACAAGTCTTCGGAAATATGTCTGATATTTCAGGACGTTATTAATGCATTATTCGTAACGTTTTCTTCATAAACCATACATGCATGAGTCGACGGCGTGAAGAGGAATTATCTTCTTTATACTGATTGCGAATCGATACCTCATACCAAGCGAAACTATACACGAGTTGTGTCCGCCTAATTTTATTATATATGTGCACATGAGAAAAAAATCATAGCACTTAGTTTTAAACTGCGCGAGAAATAACCGTGTAGTTTGATTTCTCGTCAAACCTTATCCTGTTGCCATATTCTTTATGCGCCTATATGACAGGAACCCGTAACGCCTTCAGCAGATTCAACTCAACACTTGAATTTGCAAAAGTACCCCTGAATTTTTTTGTTCTGCACTGCGATACCTGACATTGTAACAATCCTTATTCTACGTGGGGTTCGGGCAGGTAAGTATGGTCAAGTTGCATTTTGTGATCTGTATTCTACGGCAGAAAAAAACATTTTCGAGGGAGGGAGGGGCCCGGGCCCAGTGTGCCACCCCCTGACTACACCAGTGCCTGCGCGTCGTGGTTTTCATTTATGTGTAGCCACGGCTTTCCTATCATTACAGGGGAAGTTGGACCCCGACCACTGATCTGACCTGGTTGACCGGGCGTGAACTCGTAGGCAAGGTTGCCGGGATAGTTGGCCTGGGAAATATAGGTACGTATAGGCTTACATTTCCCCTTATGCAGAATAAAGACGACGCCTGTGGGCGAGCACTGCACTCACATCCTTGAGCGTGCAATGACGTACGAAAGGCCCCAATGACATACGAAAGGCAATATGCATGCCGTAGTTTTGCGCGGAGGGGATTGAAAGAAAACTGCGTTCGCGCTCTGTGGTCCCATGACTTGGCCATCTAGTTGCAAAGTGTTTTTTAGTCACACATTAAAACAAAATCCAGCCAGCTACACTTCGCGAACAGTGGCGAAACAGCTTATGTCCGTCCTTCATCAGCCTGTATCCCACTTCTATATTTTTTTCAAGTCTACCGTTCGTTGGTGCTTCGGTTTCTTTTGCGCGGGCAACGCACTCGGCTCGGTGACGACAAGCCCATTCTCGCGGCAGCTCTCGCTGACGCTTACGCAGGGCGGCTTCCCCATCGGGAGAATGAAAAACGTTCGTCATCTTAAAATTGCAAGCTCCGTAACACTGGCACTGATGCGCTATCTTACACTCCACTGCTCCTCGTCGTCACCCCATTTTGACGCGTTCTTCGAAGGTTCACCACCTCGCGCCTCTTGCTCTTTTCTACACCTTTATCACCATTTTAATCCCTCCTCACCCCCACCCTTGTGAGCTACTGTTGAGGTGTCGCTCACTGAAGCAGACAGTTACGGGGCTCACTTTTCTCTTCCTTTCTCTCTTAAGAACCACTTAGTAGTTTCTTACCAAGGCTCACTCTCGCTACAATACGAGGCCACGCCGACCCCGGACATGAAAGCCTCGGCTAAGAACAGCTTCGCAGTTCAAAGAGCAATCATACTCTGTACTCAGACTATCTTCAGCAAGAGTTAAGAATATCAGCAGTGAACAGCTATCACGTCCTGCCACGATGGTCTAGTGGTTAAGGTACTCGGCTGCTAACTCGGAGGTCACGGGATCGAATCCCACCTGCGGTGGCTGCATTTTCGATGGAGGCGAAAATGCTGTAAGCCAGTGTGCTCAGAGTTCGGGTGCACGTAAGCGACTCCAGGGGGTCGACATTTCCGGACCCCTCCATTGCGGCGTCTCTCATAATAATATAGTGGCTTTGGGACGTTAAACCCTACATATCAACAACTATCACAGATGAAAGTTTCCTTTAATAAGTTTGTCTATATGTGTCCGTCTTACTATTTTGTGCATGCAAGCTGTTTTTGAGTAATAGTGGAGATTTCACAGTCACAGTGGGTAGAAAGATTCAAACATTCAGTTTGAACAGCGCAATAAAAGATACAATCAAAGTGATGATAAAATATCTAAAAGTTGGCTGAGTTTGAACAATAATGAACTATTTTGTTTGTTGTTATTCTGTTAATCTCCAGTATAGTTATAGTTCTATATGCCACCGCAGCTAAGTTCTTCACGACCCCCCCCCCCTACACACATAAATGGTAGTGAATGCTTGACAGCTTGTTCAAATATTAAAAAAGCTGATTATTCTCAGCACGCAGCGATATCGGCTGATGCTGTAATCACAAAGCCTACATTTAGAGCTTTCCATTGCTATTTAAGAGGTCAAAGTTTTCTATTCATGGCCGAGGAAGAACTTCTCTGATGAAGGCAAAAGCAGCGCTGCATTTGCAAGTCAGTGTATGTCATAGCTTTATTATGTAGTCTTTCAACATGGTATTTTTTATCGCCGTGAAGCAGGTTTGCAGTGCCTAATAGCCTGCTTTGTTGAATGTTTCAGGAATAGAAATCGTCAACCGGCTGAGGGCGTTCAAGATGCGAAGCATCCTGTACCACAACAGGCGCCCCAAAATGGAGCGTAAGTAAACGCCGTGACCTCATGGTTTTGATTCGAGGGCAGTCATCTCATTTATATACTGCACAGTGAGAGAACTCTAGTTTTGAAAAAAGTGTTATGCTCTACCAAATGTAACACGCCGTATATTGTCACGGGGTCATCACGTGGCCGAGGGGAGCAGACTGTAGACCGAAGATGAAAGTGTTTATTCAGGCTGAACTTGTGGCGGCCAAACGAAAAGTAAGATTGCAGCTAGCGATACACACTGACACCGGTAGCGGCGAACGGAGCGTCGGCCGTCGATCCACTGACAAGCGGTGAAGCGCGTTGGCATTTATACACGTGCCGTCAAATATTCTAGCTTTATCGCTAGCGGCAAAGTAGGTTACAGAATAATCTGTAATGTTCGCGAAGTGGGTAGAATCTTGACGAAACGATCTACTGCAGTCCCGAAGCTTCTTAAACACCGCAGGCGCGGTTTGCGCAGAGAATTACGCGCAGTGTAGCAGGGCGATAACAAACTTCAGGAAGGAACGTGGCAATATATAACGCAGTCGAATAGTACCGCCATATTTTACTGATCTGGACACGTGTATAGCAAAAAAAATTTTTCTTCAAATGTGTTTATTTTGCACCACTTTTTGAACATCTAGAGGGGCCAATCTGGGGTGATATTACTTGTGAACTAACCACGTAAGGCGATAAGCACTCATAATAAAGTTCGGAAACTGGTTGAGACCCATCGCAAAAAAAAAAAGCAAGACACACAAACGCCGACATAGCGGATGCGAAAGACAACGCAGACGCCGCTTAAAGGTCGCACATTTGCGGAAGAGAAGGAAGGCTCAAAACTTTGCTACACACAATACGACTTAATATGAATACAGCAAGTGGAAAGCCTTATACGGTTCATGAATTTGAAAATCCGGAGGCGCGAATGCGACTGGTATGAAAAGTCAGGTGGGACGATGCCGACGGTGTGCTGCAACACCAGGCGAGGTGCTGAAAACTTTCAGGGGAGGGCAGAATAACTTTAACGTTAAAACCAAAGAATTTACTCATTTGTTGACACAAACTATTACAACCAATGGGTTTCACGAACGACATTATGTTCTTTATCACTTAACAGTATCGAGAAGGAAAGAACACGCATTCACAGTGATAAATACATTAGTAGATATAATTTTGTAGTAGTAATATATTATTTATATTAGTAATATAACTACGCATTTCAATCGAACATGACGTCAGGGCAATTTATTCGCGTGACCAACATCACAAAATCGACATTTACGTTTTCAAAATTTTCAACTCTTGGCGTAAACCATGCCGGCATCCCTTCATAATCAAAATGCATTACACTGTCATCTATAGTGTTAAAGTCGCATACACAATTGACGCACTCCGATGGAAAAGTTGCACGACTTGTCCTGATGCTTTCACCGGATGATCTTTCAGCGCTGCCGTTCGACACCCAGTACACCACGCTGAAGCATCTGCTGTGCAACAGCGACATTGTTATCGTCAGCTGCCCGCTCAACTTGGAGTCGTACCAGATGTTCAATGAGAAAACCTTTCACCTGATGAAGCATTCGGCGATCTTCGTCAGCATCAGCAGGTGAGCGGAGCTGTCCATCTAGACGATCACGCACCAGCGACAGAACACGCGTTTATCGAATAATCGACCGCAGCTGCAGAGATTTGAAATGCAGCGTACTGTCGTGAGGTTTTTTGGAGCGAAACTCCTACAGCTCGTTAAAAAAACGTCCACTGCCCGCAACAGTGTGTATATATATATATATATATATATCTATATATATATATATATATATATATATATATATATATATATATATATATATATATATATATATATATATATATATATATCGCAGCATCATTCGCTTAGTCAGCCAGGCCCGTGTGCTTAGATTTGGGTGTACGTTAAAGAACCCCAGGTGGTCGAAATTTCCGGAGCCCTCCACTACGGCCTCTCTCATAATCATATGGTGGTTTTGGGACGTTAAACCCCACATATCAATCAATCGCTTAGTCAGCCCACTGACAGAAACCCACGCCCTCTGTCGGAGACTGCGCGCACGGCCGTCGCGCTGAGCTTGCCCAGCATGGTGCGAACCACGGTGTGCGAACCAAGTACGAACCCCGAAAAGCCCGAGATTCTACCAGGGGTGCCACAGCCAGATTAGCACGTTAGTTTCTGGCGATGGACTTTGGACACTATTGGAAAATCTGTGACAGGCTGCGGTTCGACTCTATTTTGTCTACGCCAAGAAAAGACCTAGCTAGACCTAGCCATGAATGCCACGTTAAGCTTCTATGATCGACCAACTTCGCTATTTCTTCAGCCACACACGGCTAGCACAAACTTATTTTTTTAGTGTGCGTATATCGCAAAAAACTGGAAAACTCCTGTTTTTTTTTTTTCATTTCAAAAACATATCACTGTTAATAGTGCAACGCAGTACTGCATGGTTCTCAAGCTTTGATTAAGCTCCGTGTATTCCCATTCACGATGAGTATAGGATAGTACGGCGCTGTGCACATACGACACCCTGCATTACTCGTACATTTTTGTTATCGGGTTCTAGAACAACTGATCCACGACGTGTGGAGCACATGCTAAGTATGGGATACCCACTTGCAAAATAGTGAACGCACGCTCATGAACAGGGGCTATCTTTAGGCACATGCGAATGGATGCCTAACTGACACATCCGCCCATGCAACCGACACCGTGATGATCGTTGGGAACGAGAAATTATGGGAGAGGATTAAGCATGATTTGCCCTGCAGGTGCTTTAAAAGAAGAAATAGCATTACCAGCTATATCTTTCAACATTATGTTGCACAGGCTCACTAGCGCGATTATTGCTTTACTGTATTTATTGATTACGCCGCAATATGGTACGGTATATTACAGTAACACTTATAGGCGTGATTAGAGCTTGTATGCAATTAGAGTCGCTGTATATGCTACCTTTAGGTAAATTAAAGGTAGCGTAACTCTAGAAGCAATACTCGCAAAGCGACACCTGTGAAGCAGTCCCTAGAAGCACGCGTTAAATGAATCAGCATTCGCTTTTCCGCGAAAAATGAGCTTATCAAGTCATGCAAAAAGAAAGAAGCGATAGTCTTGACCGGTAGCTTTTCGCCTGAAACCCCGTACAGGCGAGAAGTGGTGGACGAAGAAGCACTCTGCAATGCTCTGAAGAACGGCGGGATCGGCTTCGCGGCGCTCGACGCGGCTGGCGACACGCCCATGGACAAAGACAACCCGCTTCTCAAGCTCCCCAACTGCGGTGAGTGCGCGCACGTGTTAAGCCGTGCTGAGCTCGGAACATGCTATAGCCTGCAGTCTACGAGTCGTAAAGTGACGCGCGAAGGCCTCAAACTTTTGTGCGAAGCAATACTGCAGCTTTTCAATTAGTGCAGTGTTGCTTTGTTTTTTTTTTATTGAGGGATTTTCACTAAATATTTAGCTGCTCCTTGGCGCAATATTCCAAGTCCATTTGCGCAGGCGTCTGTTTTATGTAGGAGGGTTCAGCCGGACAGTGATACAGCAAAACCATCAAAGAGCGCGCAGTATATAGTTGATTGTCAAGATAATAAATAAATAAATAAATAAATAAATAAATAAATAAATAAATAAATAAATAAATAAATAAATAAGGATATTCTGATGTCCGCAAAAATATTCTTTGCTTACATTTGAATGGCGTTCTACGTTTAAGGGGAGGTGTATAGGAGTAGACGGGAAAAGAGAATAGCAAAGAAAACAGTGCTCGCGTGTGTCGTGATTTTTTCGTCCCATGTCTTGGAAATTTGCGCTAAAGAAGCAGCATTGAATAACCAAGTAGTCCGAACATGCGCATTGCTATGAGAACACTGATCAAAGCAGGGAACTATTTACTTGTATTCTGCAAAAACTAGATACTAGTCTTTCCGTACTGTGGAGTGACTTACGAAGGAGTTTCTCACCTGGCTCCGCACATTGGCATATCGCTAGCTTACGCACACAGCTATTGAGAGTCAGTCACTTCACAAGGCCTGGCCTCTCTAGAAGAGCATGCGCGTATTCGCAGTCTAAGAATTGCGCCTCATTTTCTGAAAAACGAAATCGAGAAACCGCTTTTACCACCACACGCAGAGCTCGCATGGTATATGCGAAGCACCTCTCGCCAACCATTATGAAATAAATTTTGGGGTTTTTATTCTTTTCGACTGGAAATAATCTCAAATGGACAAACTTGTAATAGATACATTCGCACAACGTAAACTTCTTCGTCAGTAAACATGAAACTACTAGGTGAACCTGAAACTTTTAAGTGAAGCTCCTGGCATGATAGCGACGATGAGGAAACCAAAAATGAGAAGCAAAAGTCCTTGGAGACCTATAATGCCCAGGAAGAGTAATTGACATCGATTGATGAAGAGCAGTAGTTTAACTATATCGCATTCTGTTTAGTTGGGAAGTAAGTTACGTAACGTAAGCCAGGCAGGCATGATGTGCAAGTGATAGGCTGCGTAAACAGAATGTATATATAACGAAGAGACGAAAGCAACCTCACACGCCCTTTTGTCTCTTCACTGCGTAAGCTGAAACAGCAGTCCATGTACTTTAAATACAAATATTTTTTCAAGGCAGAAACAGGTGCGAGCTATTACCCGGTTGTGCTATGTAGAGCCATTTCACGTCATTGGTCCCAACCATGACGCTCTAACAATATCTATTTCACTCACACAACGAGCAAAAAGTTACGCCCATATAAGCATTACTTGTACAATAGTGTGGCAAAATGTTTTGATCGCAGGAAAACGTATGACAAAAATTGGCCTTTTCAAATATATCCACCGAAAAGCAGATATAATTGAAAAGCGCAGCAAGTTTGGCCACGGAACTTCTAGTGAAATCAACTTGTGTCTCACAAAGGGGGGTAAAAATCTAAATTTGGGGCGCATCGTTACAAAATCTTGCTCCACGCTGCGACTTTATCTTACAGCATGTTTGCGGCGAATACGAAGTCATTGAATTTGCTTCAAATCATGTTGGTCGGTAATTCACCGAATTCAGTGCACTATCGGCGGACAGGTGCAAGAGGCACCGCGGGGTTGTCTGTGCTTGGAAGTGAAAAAAGCGACACACGAGCCTGCCGCCTTTTCTCTCGCTCTATCTTAGTTGCCTGTATTTGTCTCACAGCTCGCAGTGAGTACTTAAGCCTGGCACCTTCCGCTTTCCTCTTTCCCAGTCGTCACGCCTCACTTAGCCGCGCATGCGAGGGACGCCGTTATCAAGTCTGCCGTCATGTGCACCGAGAACATCCTAGCAGTGCTTGAGGAGAAATACTACGCCGCTGCCAACCTCCTCTGCTGACTGCCCGGGAGAGCTCGGTGCCTTCAAAGGTGTCGCCTCGGCGGCTTTGAGCGCGGTTACTATCGAGAGCCAGAAGAAAAAAAGCCGGGAACATTTTTCGGGTGACGTTTTTCACTGCAGACCACTGGCACAAAACGACATCCCCATTACTTATGAAAGTTCGAGTCTTGTACGAATGGCTGTGCGAAAATACCACGAACGGTGTTAGTAATAGCTTACAATGGCCAACAACTCTGCGCATGGAAGTCCAGAGAATATAAAAACACGAATAAATGCAAAAGAAACACGTTATGCTAGTACATAAAGTGAAAAAAAAAACTTTTGTTCTAGTGTAGGCACAGACGACCACGTAATTACTGTAAACTTATCCATATAAAACAGCAGCCATCATGTGTGGACTGCACCGAGGCATGTATTCGTTTTGTTAGCGACCTTTTCGGCTAAATATTGAAATCATCAGCACAGTACAATTTATAAACGGTGCCTAAATACATCACAGCAGAGCTGTTATGGTCGAGGTTAGCCGGGTATCGCAGATTGTCATGCAGAATGCTACCATGGGGTTCGATATCTGCTGGGACCCTGACTTTTATTCTTTGCATTCGTCCGGTCAACACTGCCGATGTCAGCTTTTTCTTTACGCTCATGCGTTAAAATTACCCATGTATGTTTCATAGCAAGGTTCTCGTTCTGGCACACTTGGTGCCTCCAGGTATAGTATACGAGATATTATTGGGCATCTACAGATCTTCATCACAAACCGGCACGCACTCAATGACCACCTTAGCACTCGGTATAGATTAACATTAGAAGCTACACCATGCAGCCACTGATGGGTGCTTGCCGCCCGTGTGTTCCCTTGCTATTTTTTTTTTTAGTGGGTCAGTTGAGCAGGAAGATTTGCTCATATTCTGTGGCACATACGTGCTATGGAATTTCATAGCGGAGCTGTGACGGTCGAGGTTTCCGTGTGTCGAAGAAAAAATGAGAAAAGGAGAAACAGAAGGAAGAGGGGAAAATATAAACGGTGAGAGAACCACTACAGAGAGAAGGGCAATAAAAAAGGAAAGAAGTAGAAAAAGACAGAGAAACAAATAGACACGGAGAGAAAGCCATAGAAAGACACGTTGAACGAAAAAAATAGAAGAAAAGAACGAGCCCTGCATATTCTGTTATTGCATGACAAAAATTACTTTCAGTCTGAAAAAAAAAAAAAAAAAGACGCCAGGCCTGCGCGGAAGGCGCTGCACAGTGACAGCGAAAGCTAGAAAGAGCGCTCTTTCAGAGCCTTTTCTAAACACTCATTGGGTAACTGCTGCAACTTTACGAAGTGGTGCTAAAAGCATGTACAAATGCACGCACAGACATGCGTTCAACACCCGTTTAAATTAGCACTTGCTTATCGCAAGGATGGTAGCCCTGAACACACTGCTACATAAATCAACACCAGCTGATGGCGCCGAACTATAATTGACGTTAACCCGATATGACGGCTGTATCGTATGAGTACATATCTAATGTTTATAAAACCGGATAGCCAGTATGCAACCACAATGTATCGCGAACATCAGGGTCTTTTTGAAAAGTAGTTCCGAGACCTGGCGTGGCTCTATGGTAGAATACTTGATTGTCATGCAGAATTCTGGGGTTCGATTTCTGTTGGGACCCTGACATTTATTCTTTCGCTTCCGATGTCAGCTTTTTCTTAACGCTCATGCGTTAAAATTACCCTTGTATGTTTCATAGCGAGGTTCTCGTTCTGGCACACTTGGTGCCTCCAGGTATAGTATAAGAGATATTATTGGGCATCTGCCAGCTCGTAATAAGATCACGTGCTATGTGACGCCAGACAGGCATAAAAAGTGTGGCACACTTGCCTCATGGCTACTGGCAGCGCTGATTGACGCTTCGAGGTTAAATGCACATATATACCCTTCAATTTGGATGTGGGGATAGCGGCCGCGATAGCTCAGTTGGTGGAGCATAGGACGCGTTATTAAAAGGTCGCAGGTTCGGTCTCTGCTTACGGCAAGTTATATTTTCGCCCACTTTTCTTTCTTCACATTTACATTACAATTACTTCTAACAACATCCCCTAGACTTTCTTTGGCAAGATTGTCTGTTAGATCTCATTGATACTTCACTGCTTCTGGGTAGATACATATAATCACCTGTGGCACGTACTCACCCGCGGGTATGCGCCACTGTCTGGCGGAAAGTGCTTGATGACGTGCGCGACGGGATTGTGACATTATTCATGTCATGACCAGCGAATCGTATTCGTCAAACCATATTACCCTTCCATGCTAATTTTGGTTTGCCCCAAGTTAAGGGGGTGATCACGAGAGCAACCAGATGAAGGCACACAGACAGATAGATAGCTCCAAGTACCTGCAGTACTTGAAGCTACTTGGAGCTAGTACGGAACAAAGAAATGTTTCGTACTAAAAAAAACGAACAAAATTGACAGATCCCACGTACAGTGGAAATCAATGATATAAGAAGCACGAATGAGGAATGTTGATATGACACTTCGAAATCAGCACAACGTTACGAAGCGGACGTAAATTATGCTGTACATGACTTCTATGAGATGATTATCATGTTTGGACGTATCATTTACTTTCATCGTGTATTCACGTCCCACGATACCAAATTTGGTATATGTGGAGCTAGCAGAACGGCCACGAGCGCGCTATGAGCGTATACCATATAGTCATGTATTACATGACACGCATGTCACGATTACCATTTTTGGACGTGCCATTTGCATTCTTCGTCCATTCACGTCACGTAATGTCAAATTTGGTATATGTGAAGCTAGTGAAACGGCCGCGAGCGTATCATGAGCGTGGCATGTAGTCATGACTTAAATGACATGCATCTCATGATTATCATGTTTGCAGCAGTCACATATCTTCGTCCTCCATTCACGTCCCGTAATAACAAATTTGGTATGTGTGAAGCTAGCGAAACGATCATGAAAGCACTATGAGCAAGGCATGTAGTCATGTTTTACATGACACGCATATGATTATCATGTTTGCACGTGTTATTTACCTTCGTCTTCCGTTCGCGTCACGTAATGCCAAATTTGAAATATGTGAAGCTAGTGAAACGGCCGCGAGTGCATCATGAGCGTGGCATGTAGTCATGTTCTTACATTACACGCATCTCATGATTATCATGTTTGCGGCAGTGATATAACTTCGTCATTCATTCACGTCCCGTAACAACAAATTTGGTATGTGTAAAGCTAGCGAATTAAACGACCGTGAAAGCTATATATGAGCACATGTAGTCATGTTTTACATGAGACGCATGTCATGATTACCATGTTTGCACGCGTCATTTACCTTCGTCGTCCATTTGCGTCACGTAATGCCAAATTTGGTATATGTGAAACTAGTGAAACGGCCGCGAGCACATCATGAGCGTGGTATATAGTCATGTTCTTACATGACACGCATGGCCTGCCGCAGTGGTCTAGTGGCTAAGGTACTCGGCTGCTGACCCGCAGGTCACGGGATTGACTCCCGGCTGCAGCAGCTACATTTCCGATGGAGGCGGAAATGTAGGCCCGTGTGCTCAGATTTGGGTGCACGTTAAAGAACCCCAGGTGGTCGAAATTTCCGGAGCCCTCCACTACGGCGTCTCTCATAATCATACGGTGGTTTTGGGATGTTAAACCCCCATATCAATTACATCACACGCATCTCATGATTACCATGTTTGAATCAGTCATGAGCACATACCTTCGTGATCGACTGACGTCACGTAACACTAAATTTGCTATATGTGAAGCTAGCGAAACGACCGGGAGCGCTCCGTGAGCGTGTAGCCATGATTTACAGGACATGCATGTCGTGATTTCCACGTTAAAGTCTGTCACTTATATTCGCCATGCAGTCATATCATACCAGTTTTGTACTATGTCATGTGAACGAAACCATGCAAGAGCAGCAACACGATGAAATATAAATCATGACATTCATGTCATGATTTTCATGTTATGAATAGTCACTTATGCTCGCCATATCAATTTTGGTATCGATACACCTAACAAAACGGCCAGGAGGGCTAAAAGTAGTAGGTGGCTAGATAGTTAGCTAGATAGATACACTAAGTCGCCGAAATGCGATAAGAAATACTTTGCATTTAAAATCTTGGAAGGCGCTTGAGCTTCGCCTTGAAGAATAGAGCGTAATTGAGCCCCGTGTGCATTGCCTTCAACCATGCTGCAAAGAAAGGAACGCTTGTCCGCACAACATCGCCGTTTAAAACTATCCTGAAATGCCTGCTGGAAGTAAAATGGCGAAGTGCCCGCAACGCCGCGATTCTTTCTATTCCGTGCACCTCGGTGAATCAGTGGCTGGCGTGCTCGGCTGCTGACGCGAAGGTCGTGAGTTCGATTTCAGCCGTGGCGGTCGCATTTAGATGGAGGAGAAATGGTAAAGGTCTGTGTACTGGGTGGTGTCACTGCACGTTAAAGAGCACCAGATGGGCAAAATTTCCGGAGCCTTCCACAACGGCATCGCTCAATCATATCGTGGTTTTGGGCCATCATCACTCAAATTGAAATTTTTGAAAAATCTTTTACTGTTTTCTTGTCTAAGAAACAAAATTAAATATGCTGGGGCTAAAGGCATATAGCCTGACAGAGGACCCTGTACACAGTTCGTACAACCCAGATTTTTGCACAGAAATCAACCTTCATCAAAAAAGAAAAAAAAAACACATAAAAAATCACGTTCTTGGCATCCATACCATCATGAACAAAAGAAGCAATAGAGAAAATAGATTGCATAAAAATTTTCATGTTACATTAAATCAGGCTTTGACTATACACAGCTGGTACCAAACATAATTATTAATCACTCACAAAAAAAATTAGTCCAGAAGATTAGAGACATGGGATGCATAACATTTTCGGAGTTAATACACATTTAGTAGAAATTCCCATCGCTGACCTATTATCATTGCTTAAATCAGTATTTTTT